AGGTGCTCCATGCCCTCATGGCTCAGCAGGGACATCAGCCTACCAAGCCCTGTCCTGCATGTCCTGGGGCAAAAAGGAATATTGATCCATCATCACTGAGGATCAGTCGTAACTACTCAGGCGGATACTGACTACGTGTGCTTCCAAGTGCAGCGGGGCCGCCGTAGCCTATTGCTAAGAGGAAGCTAAGCTGATGTCATAGATCTTACGTTCTTCACAAGAACCAGTTCGAATGCAGCAGATTGCAATCCGCTTCCTCCAAGTAAACTTAAAACCTTAATTAAGGTAAAGACGCTCTTTCGCTCAAAAAAAGCTGTATGTAATTGTTTTATTTGCAGCAGAGCCGCCTTAATCGAATACTTTAGGTTTTCCAAATCAAATAGTAAAGCCTGATCAAAATGCATAAATTCTGACAGTCCTGCCACGTAGTGGCTTCTTGTTACTGTGTAGCCAACCCATTTTGTGATGACACCAACTTGTGTCATTCACACCTACGTACGGTCACGCCATCTTTTGTCAGCCGTACTTTCATACAAGGGTACGTGTAACCCCGTTACAGATACCAAGCTAGCGAGAATCTACTTGTGGCTACAATCTACGTATTTCCAGTGATCTTTGCTCATGACTCTTGAGCTACACATCTCTCCTTACAATCGCATCTGCAAGAGTAAAGCCAGACAGTCGTGAGACATTGCTGTATAATAAATCTAAACAGCTTAAATTCGTTGTAGGTCAACATGAAAGTCCACCATAAACGAGTAATAACTTATTGTATTCCTGCATGTAGGTCATCACATTACATATGAAGAATTAACGTAGCTTCAAACGGTTTACGGCTTAACAAGACGGATCGAATTAAGCAGATGTCCAACTAGCACGTCGTTTTATCCTTGGCATTGCGAGTATGAAACAAAGTAAACGTTAAAGAGGATGCTCGCAGCCTTTCTTACTTGGTGAGAACAACATTGCACATCTGAAAGAGCTTTGCTGGTGCAGCTACCGGCTAGGCCATTACCTGAAAGCACAAGGTGTTTAGATGCGCTCTAAGGACAGCGCGATCGCTCCGATTGGCTTGAGACACCCTAATCAAACCGCCGCCTCAAATTAAGGGTAATTAGCTTCCGAAGACGACTGAAACGTACTTTGTCCTTTGCAGAGCGCTATTTATCTGAGTTACCTACAAGAAAGAGGACACATTTGTACTGTAGTAAGCCCACAAAGAACATCGGACGATTTTGTATTCTTCATGATATACAAAATGTACCTTAGTCGCTTTCTGACTAAGACCTTACGGAAACCAATGTGTCAAGATCGAAACACTGCCTCACAGACGGCAGACTCTTGATGTGTAGACATCTTTACCGCATTCGCCGGAGCGATTTCTCTGCTACATTCAAGCGAATTTTCCTAATCTTAGTGTCGCATATCCTGACTTTCAACTTCATTTTGCGCACTCGGTGCGTGGCACTCAATCTCTTCTTATTATAGCTGTCGGGCTTGCTACAAAGGGTGGCGTGACATATATCAGAAATCGACAGCTTTTGCCCCAACAAGGCCGGAGCAACTTCATGGCGGTGTCAAAACACGTTTTATATTTGGGTTAAGCCAGTAGAGGCATGTACTGCCTTTAAAGGCAGCCTCAACGCGAAGAGCGTTGCGCCTTGACAACACACTAGCTCAGCGCAGATGATTGCCACTACCTCATTTACGCGTTCCATCAGAAAACTGAATCGGGATTAGCCTGCGTTGGATACACACAGACAAGTTTCTTAGCACTTTGAGAAAAACTTGCCTTGCTGTAATGTGCTAAATCAGTCTGGAACATTGCAATAGGAGCCATTCGGTCAAAGACTTTGTCAAAGAATAGTTCGACTGTATTCTCACTAATTCCAGTGTCAGTGACAGCTGCAATTGTGACTTATTTAAGCCCAACTAGCTTAGCAGTCAATGTCACCTAATTTTTGACAATAAGAAAATCCACGGCTCGCAAATTTCAATCACACAAAATCAAGGATGATACTAGGTCTAGTAAAGCTAACGTCCCACTTTGTACTTGGCGAAGCAGATCATTTTGTATGACACATATTCCATTGATACTCTTTTGGTAAGCCAAATAAGCAAGCGTAAAGCTTGAGGTACTTGAGAATTCTCGGCTCGGCGCTTCCAGGTGATCTCAATCTGTGCGTGGTGATTGGCAACCCGTTCAGAGATTAAACTTTCAAATCTTGCAATGTGGTCAAATTCTGTTTTAGCAGAGGTGCAAAGTTCAAGAAACGAGTCTACATCGTTTAGACTCATACGTCGTACGAAATTGCACGACGATACTGAATCTAGAGGCTTTACACGGCTTCTGAAAGTCCGAAACGTTGATATTGTTAACTAACTACCATGGGCTGTGAGCCCTACCTCTCCTAGCGTATTTTTTTGGTCGGGGCTGGGGTTCATTGACCTCGATCTCCACGAGGTACCATAAGCCAATTTCCCCAATATCCCAGCCTGTGGCAACTGACTCCGCGACGGGTTCGCAAACCAGCCCTGCGTGGGAGACCTACCATATATATTTTTCAACCAAAAAGGAGATGATTAACGTTTCATTCCTCAAAAAGAGTTTACCGCCATCGAGGCGATGCGAATCCGCAAGTCCTCAACACCTTGCCTCTTTGAACGGATTGACAAAAAATTGGCTGCAGAATGTATGCATGTCTTCGAGGCGCGAGCACTTGCGACAACAGTCGCTTCAACATTTCCCATGTCAGCAACGTAACAATTACAAAGGACAACCTGCACTTAAAAGGACCATTCTCATGCAGCCTCATAGCTTGAAAACCGCTGACACGATGCGCTCTTACTCCTTCTAGAGTTTAGTTGAATTCTTGACAATATCTGCTCTACTCTTTTAAATAAGAGACCCTCCTGCCCTTGCCCTCATAGAGCTAGACGATATAATCATGATCAATAAAACTTTTTGAGCCGATTGTACTTTCATCGACGTCTGTTTACGGCTTCACGGCATTCTGCGATGCGTCTCACCAGCGATGCCTATACCTGGTTGACGAGCTGATGCGAAATGAATCGAACCCGAGCTCTGAACTGACCATTGCACATCGCTCGGAAATTTACGGAGATGAGCTTGTCAAGCGTGTATTGGTGCCCTGAAAATAGAAATTTGAATAAGTTATACGTCATCCTTACGAAGGGTCCATTTTTGCTCAGATTCAGTCGTCGATTGGCGACAAGTACTAACAATTGCAACGGTGTTGCCGCGCACCTAAGACAAATGGAAACTTTACCACTACGAGTTCATTCCAAGAAACACATATTAAATTAGCTCGTATAACCTTATATCCATCGAAACGAAGGCTAGTTGAATGGCTAGTTTTATTTCTTCTCATTGCCAGGAGTGAATTCTATTTGGAACTAGATCTAACTCTGATGGGTACTTGGTATATCTGTTTTACTGTCGACAAAATTAACGCTTTATGTGGAGTATTACGTAACCCACGTGTCCCGTGAATTTCTAATTGTGAAGTCGCACTCTTGCCAGTACTCATAATGATACTTGATCACGGTATTTAACCTAGGTACATCGGAGGTTGGATGTACGTCCGAGTGACAACAGTGTGATGTGAACATATAATTTGCATCCCATCACAAGGTTCTTGGAAGTCTGTAGATGTAATTCACAAGAATCTTCTTCAAATCTGCTCTATGATTGATTTGTCGACGAAAGCTTCTGATTCTCACATCATGCAATAGCTCCCGAATTGCCCATTCGTAGGAAGGGTCGTCTCAATTGTTGCTTGATACAGGAGAAATCCCCCCAATTGTTAAATGCTAGCCTAACGATAACCCATATCACGACATTCCACGCCAAGAGCTGACGTTTGCACCCTTAGTTAAAGACTAGACGCTTGCCAAACTTGTCGGCCACCGATGCTGGGACTAGCGCTGTTCTTGTGCTACAGGCTTGCTGACCGAAAACCACGTAACGCCTTCATCATCCACTATATTTTCAAACGACTGTGCTGCAGTCTCGCGAGCTCAACTGGGATTGTTCGATGCAATGTTACAACAACATCGAAACTGGTAAGTTATTCATTATATGTTAATTTTGTGAATGCTAGTAATTATTTAGAGGAGTATTAGTATCTTGGTGGCTGACTAAAACATTAAAAATTATGTCAAAACGTACTTATATTGATGACAACAGCAAAAGTTAAGACATATATTGTTGGAAAATGCTTTAAGAAGTAAAATTAAGAATATCAATCAGAGGATGCTTGAGAAATGATGGCCATTGACCTATCAAGCGTATTGATAGAATGAATATTCCTTTTATCTTTTTTCCGGCTATACGTAGCACTGCACAATCCTGTGATTCTATAGTTTCTTTCGCTTATTACTACTATTCCTTGTATATTTTTCAAATACATCATCATCGCTATAAGCGAGAAGTTACAAAAGATAGATATTCCAATTTAACTCGATCACTTGTCTAGTCTAGCGATAATAAAATGCATTACAAGTAAGAATTTCTACGTCTACCATTTAACTACTACATGACGTGATCATCATCTGCAGCAAACATTTGTATAGCAGAAAATATAATTTGCTTCATCAACTGAAGGCAGCAAAAATTTGTTTCTAAATCGCAAGTTTCACTCAACGAGCAAGTCCAAGCTCATTAATTGTACGCGGATGAACATCATTCACATTCACCGTCGGTATGCGAGATACAGAGATCACAACATCTCTATCTCTTCTTCGAGAAATAAAAAACATTCGTGCAGTCTATGATTCGGTGTAATTTCCTCAATAAATCAACCCCTAGCCCACCTGCATTTGGTTGGTTCGAGTGAAGCGAATTTGGCTTACATTTGTAATTTGTATGAAGCAAATTTTAAAGGCCTTTGTGTATGGTCAGCAGGAGCGCTTCACTCTGCTAGACTTACTTTACCCTTCCTTCAGCTCCTTGTTGTAATCCCAAGCCCGAATCTAAGATGGTACGGCTTCTTTTTTCAACATATATACCACCTACAAGAATCAGCATGTGGTGAATATATCTCATCCACGTTTCTCTCCGTTTCCTCTGCTACTCTCGCGCTGTCGGCGTCATTGGACTTGCAATCGAGCACAAGCCATAGATAGCGAGATGATTGAACATATTTAGGTAGATCGAAAGCAGAATTGCAATCGAGATTCTAGAGGAAACGGAGATGAAGCTGATCGACTTTAGCACGAGGTGCACAAGACATAATGAGACTGACAAAACTTTGGGTGTTTCTGGCATTTAGACGAAAGGTACGCAGAGTTTCGGTATGCGTCACAACAAGACCCACACCATCTGTAGACGGTGTGGGCGCAGCTCTTACCATATCCAGAAAAGTACTTGCTCTTCATGTGGATATCCCGCTGCCAAGATGCGCAAATGTAAGTACATTATTTTTTATCAGTAGTATTCATTTTGTTAACGACCGAGTTCAGTCAACTGGAGCCAGAAAGCTTTGCGTCGCCGCACGACGGGCACTGGTCGTATGCGCCACTTGAAGACCGTCCAGCGTCGTTTCAAGCACGGTTTCCGTGAGGGTACCTCTGCTGTGTCGAAAAAAGCTGCCACTAACTAAGTTCGCTTTGGAGCTTTCATGCTTCTGAAGCATAGGACATGAGGCGCAGTGGGGTATAAAGGAACAAATTAACTATCAAGGCAACATGGGGACGGTAATGAGGAGTGTTAAGAATATTGGAGACAGTCGAAAGATAAGCGTGTAATTCTTTTAGATGACGTGGACGATTCAGGCGCACATGCATCTTTACTCGTTTCGTTTAGGACACACATCAAATGCTTTCGTCAATCCAATCAAATTTCACATCCTTTTGCCATCCATCTCGCCATACAGTTTGGTTGTTACGATATTTCTTTTATATATCTAGGACTAAAGGCATTGGTTACGTTCGAATATTTGCAGCTTTGTCTTCGGTGATCTTCTAGGTTTACGAGGAAAGAAAACGTTTCGACGATTACGACAAGTTGTCGAGTCTCCTTTTCACCGGTTGATTTTGCGGCTTGAAGTAAGACAGTGTCAAACGTCTCGTAGTACTTCTCTGATAAGTGTCAAGTATTTTTTCTACTATATCAGGGATCTTCGTCGTAAAAGAACGACATTCAGATTCGCATTGACACGGTCTACATCAAGCCAGCCAAATATTGCAAGCTTCCTTTTTTCTTGGCTTACCAGCTCGTGAATGTCAAGATTTACAAATTGTAACAGTGACTACTATTCAAATACGGTCAATGCTGGTGAAAGCCATTTTCTGTTACCTCTAGATTGTGATCCCGTATTTTCACTGCATCCTACCACTTCATCTGTGCGGTAAAAGCAAAGCAAGCAGCTTATAGAAAACGAAATCAACGTTACTGGCTTGAATTGCACTCCTTTATGCCAACCTCAAGAACATCTTCTCGAATTGCTTGTATACGAATCGCATCGTGCGATCTGTTTATACGTGCCGATGGTCGTCCACTGGCGAGAATGCCTCGTTAGTGACGGCAAGCCATCAACGGGTCTTATTGCAGCCTCTTGATCAAGTCCGAAGTTCGTCAACAATTGTTTGATAATGCAAACGTAGTCATTGTGAAGGACCGTTTAGCAAACAAGTGCGGTGTCGTGTGGTCATCATATGAGAATGTAGCGAGTATGCTATTTGAAAACAGATAAGTTCCTCGCATATCGGTCGCCAACATTTAAAGCAATAGAAAAGAACTTTACCACAATGATTAGTTCGGACCAGCTCCTCATATGTCACACCCCATCATGTCCGCTCAAGTACGCCAATAATTCTCCCTCCCTTCATCTTCCTTCCAATTTGTTAAAGATGGTCAAGCTCTGTTGTGCTATCGTTGGTGCAGCGGGCAATGCGTTTTCAGTGGACATTAACGATACTGAGTCGGTCGCGGCGTTGAAAAAGGGAATCAAGAAGAAGAATCCAAACACGATCAAGTGCGATGCCAACAGGTTGCAGCTCTTCCTAGCCAAGACGGAGGGCGGCGTGTGGATCGATGAGGCTGGTGCGGCTTCTGTGGCACTCGATGAACGTGGATACCCGCAAGGCTATGTGCAGATGAGAGCCACACTAGATCAAGAATCCCAAGCTTTTTGGCGATAATTTTCAACCGGGTGAAGGCCAAATACATATACTGGTGGTGGCTGACATTGGTGTAACTCGCTCGACCTTGTTGCAATATAAGCGTATGTGTTCTTGCCTCTGATTGTTGGATATGTTGTTGCTAATAATCCTGTGTAGAGCAGGATACAGACGGTGGAACATCAACGCTCAGTGCTTTGTACCTGTCATATTGGTTGTCATTAACATCATTATTTTGGCCTTCGGAGAGAATCACATCGACGAAAAAGGAGGTTTAATAACTTCTGCCGCTAGCGTATCATGTGTCAAATGATAGAAGTTAGCATAGATCTGAGCAATTTGGCAGCATTGCAAATCAAAGTTTGACAACAAGAACGAGGGAGTAAAGGACGAGACAACGTTACAAGCTATCCGACAAGAATTGATCGATTTGACCATCAAGAATTGACCGAGCGTACTTCGCTGTTTTTTTGCTATTGAGAAGCTCAGCGATATCCTCAAGAACAACAACTCTCACTGGGCAAATAGGAAAACAGAAGAAGAGGAAAGAGGTAACTTTATGAAAGCATAGTGTCTTTAACTTCTCAATCATCTTGATCGAGTGTGATAAAGAATAATTATTCATATAGTATCATGGCGTAGTTTCTTAAGCTATACCATGCTGGCAAGGAACTACAGAGGCGCTACTACCAGCGCAAACACGACGCAAGAAAGATACAATGACAAGAAATTTCTTTCTCACGAGATAACAAGCTCGTCCGATGTACAAAATCTACTAAAATGAATGTCAAGGTAAGTATTGACGTGTACAAATCCCCAGGTGCTCTTGGTGATCCAACTATTGATCATGCTTACGCCATTATTCCAGAGTGGAATCCACACGGTTCTCTCATCTTTGTCAGCTCCTAGTCTATCTGAAAGCACGATTGTGTGCATCAAAACGGGAGTATGAGTGAAATATATTGGTAGACTGGATGGCTCAGCAAAGAATGAGCAGCATCCCACATATTAAAGTTAAAGGATGAGCTATAAGTATACAGCTACGAGTTATGCATGTGATTTTTGTTAGAAGGTAGTGAATTTAATATTTGAGTGGGTCAATAATTTATTAATCTCATTTCTGGTAAATCGATGGAAAGTTACCGTAAGTTCAAAACGAACGTAGCGAATTAATAAAGTGCTGACGATTACCGTGACAATATCTTTCTATCGAAAAGCGCGACTATCAGCGCGCACGCGACGCTCGCTTGTCATCTACGACGATAATGGTAGAAAACACATGAAACATGGATTTTTATTTTCAGTTAGAAAGTAAATTAAATGCACTAACGCTCATATGCCAAATTTAAAAAAAAAAAACTAAAATATAAAATCAAAAAGAATTATTGAGTCATGTCTACATAGCCAAGCACACTGTTGCTTCATTAGCAACGCAACATGTACACTTATAGGCAACGTGCTTGCATACGAACTCGAAGGATTAGAAAGGTTTGATATTCAACCGAACAAATGGGGTAGTAGCTACCGTGTTAAAATTCGTGGTAGAACAAGCAGGACGGTCTCTGTTTAGCAACGTATCTCGTCAGATCAACAAGAGTTTAGTAGCAAAGCAGTACAATGTTTTGGTTATGAACCTTGAGTTGTTCTCGTTGCCTGACTACTGGCTGACCCCCAGCATCATTTTTACAATGGTAATCACACATAATCACATTTGAAAGAGGGTGCTGAGCTTTTGTTTTCAACAACAAGCTGGAATATTTACCTTAACTGCACTCGTTTGTTCTCCCCACAAACGAGTGCAATAAAGGTAAAACATATCTCTCGGGTGCAAACTTGTAAACAAATTTGATCCTGACGTAAATCGCTACTTTACTCAAATTTCGCTAATAGTCATGTATTCATTTACTTTACCACTACCATTAGCAAAGCTGATATTTAGAGAAAAGTGATCTCAAAATTCGTTTGATGAAGTTAGCTGACAAACTGAGCTATCCCGGCTCTGGGTGTAACCTTGAGGCGATCACTGCTCTTACGGTTTTCAGCTATCATCACGACCTTGCTCTCGGATATAGCGAAGCTGTTATCCCTAATATTAACGGCAAACAGAAGCATGTGTTCAATTTTCCAACGGTCAACAGCAAGTGCTTCTTTCCATTGTATATTTTGGCGTACAGTTCAGAGCCCTAGGAAGGATCCTCGAAGGTCTCAAGCTCAAACGAAGGAGACATTCACCACCGTTCAATCAAGTGGAGTAAATATTCATTGATTTAATTTAAAAGTTTACAGCCCATTGCCCTACTGCAGCTCGATGAAGTTGAAGACTGTTTCTTACTTGATATTAACGTATTTAAGAAATATGTAGCTTCTAGAATGCTTAATGCATTCATAGAATGGACTAGGGTAACGAAACAATGGATATTCAATCCATCGAGCGTCATGCTCTTCTCATCAAGAGTACCGATATACTTCAATATAATGAAATGGTGCTCGTTGAGACGCCAAGACCGATTAAAACAGTTAGTGCGAGCTTGTGAATATCGAAACCCTCCCAGTTGAGCAAACTATTCACCAACGACAATATGATTGCTAATAATTAATCAGGAATGCTGACCAGTACATCGATCATTTCATCGTTTGTCCATCCTTGAGCCTACTGCGACTCAACACGAGAGAATACTGTCTTCACAAACGAGCATATTCTTGTGCCTGTAACAGTAGCTGATAGCGTTACCGGGTAGGTGCGTTGTTTGTTAATGATGTTCCATAGATGCTACTAACGAATATGTTCAATTTACTTGGTGAGGTACCCATGAAGATACTATTATGGGTTGTTTTAAGTTGTGGGCTCCGGGTAATGTACACAACCTAATCCGAAGCAATCCGAACCGCGCTTTAGTATTGTTTTTACGATTTATGTTTAAAGGTAATTTTGTTATGTAGAATGAGTGGTTACGGAAAGAAGAGAAAGTTAAGCCCGAATAAATAAATCACCTCAAAATTTCTTTACTTCCCTGCAAGAGTCTTCGCTTCGGTTCCTCTGCTCGACGACCTTTCAACTTCTCTTGCTTTAAGCTCCTTAACGTCCACTCAGAACTTTAGCAGGTTATAAGCCCAACCCCCGCGACCTGTACCCAAGGCACATCGCCCAAGATTCTCATTGACAAGCTCAACGGGAACAACTATGCAATTTGGGGCCGTTACATGCATGGCGTATTCCTGACTAAGTCCGCGTGGCACGTCGTTGAGTTTACGACGTTAAATCAGCTCAAGTGGTAATATCGCGCGACATCACTTTTTATGAATCAGTGTTTGAACTCTGACCGAAACCACCACAAGAAGTTGTTGATAACACTGCGCTGGACTTTGGTTTGATGGATTTTATCGATCAGCATCGAATCATTGAGCACAGACAAGCTGGAAAACGAAAAAGCCTGGTGGTTCTCCATGAACAAGACATTCAACGGACTGGTCCAACTCGTCACAAGCTGGGCCAGAAGAAGCAAGTGCGCAGGATGACTACGACACATACTCGGCCAAACGACGACCCAGCATCAGAATAAATGAAGAAGAGCGCAAACGCAGGGACAACGATGATAAATCTGATGCCACACCTCGAGTCTTCTGGTGAGCGAGTGCTAATGTGATCGAAGGATCAGGCTCTTTTGAGCTTACAACATTCGAGAAAGCTGTTAATGGACCGGATCAAAAGCATTGACGCAATGCAATTTGTGCTAAACTATCGTCGAGGAAACTTCGTGGCGTGTTCGCGTGACCAAATTGACAGCTGGACAACACATCGTTGGCACCAAACAGGTGTTAAAGATCAAGCGAAAGCGGATGGATCGATCGAAAAATACAAGGCGCGTCTCGTGGCGAGACGGCTCAAGCCGGACTATGGTATTGATTAGACGGAGACGTTCGCATGAGAAGAACGTGACACTTCGCATGGTGATTGCAATCACTAAGTGCTTTAAATGGACAGATCGACTGGACTGAATGACTGCTTTTCTGTACGGTGAAATGAAGTAAAAGGTGGATTGCGCTGCCCCTCAAGGTAAAGACTTTGATGAGGGCGTTGAATGCTTTGAGCTGGTGAAGGCAATTTAAGAACTCAAGAAAATTTCAAGAGTATGAAAAGAAACTTTTCATGAGCTTGTCTACTCTATAAAATTTTGAGAGTTGAACTTTTGACCCGTGCCTTAATCCTTGAGACTTCAGATGGAGTGTGTGTGCTGCTACTGGTTCACGTGGATGATGTATTGGCGACCGGCAGCTCGAAATATCGATGGCGCTAACGAGATGTGAATTGGAAGGATGCTTCAAGATGAATGATAGCGGCAAGTGTGCTTTGGCGTCGTGCATCGAGCTGGTTGACAACGACGACGGCAGCGTGATGATGTGTCAGCGACGCTACATTGACGATGTACTGAATCGTTTCGGTATGAACAACTGCAGAGCCGTCATTAGCCCAACGAATAATAATACTCGACTTGTTCCAAGCAATGCAACACGCCGCATTCGCGAAGCAGTGGGCGCATTGATCCACTTGATGATTGCAACTCGGCCGGACATTGCTTTCGCTGTGGGCTGTGTTTCGCGCTTTATAGATATCTTCAATTTTAGCACTGGATGACAGTCAAGCGTTTATTACCAAGGAACCAAGTCGCACGGCATTTGCTTTAAGGCTAAATACAAGGTGGACTTCTGTGGCCACCCGGATGCAGACTGGGCAGGGGACCATGCACACCGGAAATCGACTTCGGGATATGTATTCATTTTTATGGGTGCTCCGGTTACTTGAGGTAGCAAGTAGCAATCAAATGTGTTGCTATCAACAAGTGAAGCAATACATTGCGCTAAGTTTAGCAATATAAGAAGGCTAGTGTTGTTCTTCAATTGTTGCGCGAAATGATGGATGCTGCAGGCTATGAAAGCGGACCCGAGCTCAAGATTATGGAGGACAATCAGTCATGCATCAAGATGACGAAAAACACAGAAAATCATGGCCGTGCCAAGCACATCGACATTATTTACCATCACATCCGTGATGAAGTCATGGAAATAAGGTCAAGCTAGATTATTGTTAAACTTCAAAGATGTTGGCGGCAATCATGACCAAGGGTCGACCAAGACCGCGTCATATGGAGTTGACGAGATCACTTGGCATACTCGCGTGTTCGCGTTGAAGAGGCGCATCATAGCTTATTTTGGGTTGTGGGCTTGAGGTAATAAACACAACCTAACCCAAACCAATTCGAACCGCGGTTCAAATTGATTTTTATTTTTATAGTTAAAAGTAATGTCGTTATGTAGAATGAATGGTTACGGAAAAAATAGAAAGTTAAGCCCCAACAAATTAACCACCGTCAGATTTCCTTTCATCACCGCAAGAGCCTTCACTTCGGTTCCTCCGCTCGACGAATTTTCAACCTCGCTTCCGATAAGCTTCTTCACGTCCGCTCAGAACTTTAACAGGTACATCTGTAAAATGTCAATGTTTTGATAGAAGATCTCAGCGATAACGGTTTGAAAGGCATAAAATTCCCAGGTGTCAATCTATGTAAGGTCTACAAGATGTCTGATGTGGAGGGTTGTATCAAACAAGGAATATATGCCAACTTCTTTGGCTTTGAAAGCAATCTCGGCTTTGGAAAGTAAAGGTCTGATTTTGGGAGGTTAAAGCATCTGCTTGATCATGTACGGCTTCATTTCTGGTCGTTACAACATCATCTTTGTTAAGTAGGATTTGTTTGCTATCATCGGTACCGACAACATCAAGCTATATTAACAAGAATTGCAGCTAGATGTGCATTGCTTCACCTGACATGAAAATGCTCGGTACTAGCGACCATGTAATACCAGCTACGATTAATATCTTACAGCGCTTAATATGCGATGACAACATGAAATGAGTGTGTGGTCTTGGTAAGGGTCTTTTCCCTTACGAGTTCATTACTGCATACAATGCACTAATTGCAGCTTTTGACAGCAAGCTCCGAAGAACAAATATGATTAACGATGACTACGAACGAGTAAAGTTCGTGTGGGAGTAAAAGGAGATGAAATCGATCAGAGACCGCACAACAACCTCGACAAAGTCTCATTATCAAGGCTGACAAGGCTCAACGATAATCTTTAAAGGGTGTCGCTACCTCGCCTCCCGGAAAATATCATGTATCAGATTTGCTTCAGTAATCTCCAGTTTCCGGAAAACAAGCCGGCGAACGCATCCCATTTTTCCAGCTGATGGTAGAGTACAAAAACTGGATGGCTAAGACAAAACAAATTTTGGTGTGACACTCGAGCACTCGAATACTTGCAGCACGAGCAAATGTATCTATGTGATCTATGCTACCGCCAACTGAACGCTGACACCGCTGAACGTATCAGTAATAAGCCTGTAACATCGACGGCAACGTCTTGATCAGATGTGCGAAGTACGTAAAGATATGTCCTTCGGGGAACTTCAATACAAGAATTTGCGTGAATATAATTCGGAGGGACTAGTTCATTCTATTGATCGAGAGAAGAGGGATATCTACGTGAAAATAGCGGCCAACATCGCCGGAGCTTCATTCGTTAAATGCTACTCTAAGCGTAATGAGAACAAGCTTCGCGGTGGTAAGGTCTGTAGAAAATGTCGGACACTCAGCTAAAGTCTGTATTCTTTTGGCCTTTGCGTGTGGCTGATTGACTACCGTTGAAGCGTATGAAGGTATCATCGACGACATCAGAGCTGATAAGACATCTGGCTTTCTCGAATGCTAAATTCGTACTCAAGACCTTTTAAAATAGTACTTCAGTGATAAACCCCAATTTTTAAGAATTTACTAATCGATTGTACCGACGAGAGTGTTATTGGTGAACATGGGTCCGATCGCAATGAGGCGCGCAAGTAAAGCTGCGCAAATTAAGCTCGCAAGTTGATTGGTAGCTTACTTAGTGAAACATACTTCATCTACACTTCTTTGCTCATATTATACCTTACTTCTGGTATGAAGATTACCAAGACTTACGATTTTGTCAAGACCAGATTGCATGAGGCTTGTATGGAGGCTATATCAAACGCGCAGCGAGAGGAGATATTGGTAGGTCTAGGGCTATGATTGCCGTTGATAAAATGGTAAACATCAGTGGTTTTGGTCGATTTGAAATGAACATAAGGAGCCGAGCGACAAAGCACTTGCGAACACAATTGAACATTATGTATTCCATGGTTTGGAAAGCTTAATGATTCGTGTGAGTTTGTCATGTCGCCTTAATAACAAAAATCGAATTGATTTGTTAATTGCTATCGATTAGCTCACTAATCCACGTATGCTTTAGTCCTACTATGACTACATAAACTTCTTCTTTGATCGCTCAATTCTAGTATCAGGTGATGAACAGTGATCACTTTCAGCTGTGGGAATCCGTTTCAAGATTGTATCGAGCCTGGGCTATGTGACCACTTCAGAAAACATATAAATGATTGGATTTCAAGCGACTACAACATTGAGTTGGTTAAGTATGATCGCCGTACTTCTGGTTTGTTTAAAGATAAAAGGTCAGGTGATGATATTGTATATTTGCTATCTAAATGACAAATTTTAAGAGGTAAATGGGGTATTTTGCAGGAAGGCTGTAAGAAAACCTGTGTTCTTCATCCTGATTGGTATGAAACTGTTGTACAGAACTACAAAGTATAAACAAAGGCCAAATCGATCATTACCGATACTCAAACCAAAACAGTGCTCGATTACTTCGATGACAAATGTCAAGTATTTGCAGATGGTATCACTTAATATATAGACAACTACCTGCATGAAACATTTCTATACTATATGGTGCTTTCGATCAGCTTCTGTATCATTATGCTATGACCCCAAATTCGGCATTATCGGGGTTCAAGCTCTTTCCTTGATGTAAAGGAGTTAAAGTTTAAAACAAGAAAATATTGTCAATGGCTTCAACATAGCTTCGCGTATACCCCAACTCTTGGCATAGAGCTTGACTTTTGGGTGAAGCGACCAAATTTTGACTGCCATCAAATTCATCTCAATGTTGAGCTACGCGATTTTCACGTCAAAACTATATTTACTGCGCATAAACACTACAACAACGATTCTTGTGTTCATGGTTGAATGAGAAAAGTCGTGCAATTAAACAGTAACATAAAGCAAAAACTAACTATAGTACCTTCCAGCTAATGCAAAACTAACTATATTACCTATCAAAAATACGATAGCACGTTTCCCCACTCAATTGGTATCATCCCAAATGAAGCTCAAGGTAAAGTACAAAGGTAAAAAGCGGATCTGAGTCATAATATATGAAATCCGGTGAGATCGAGTAGAAATTTCAGATCAGACCAAGCGTATGATACACACTTGATATAAAAGCGTTGAAATTGATCGCTACCGAGTTTAAATCCGTTAAAATACGGTCATTCTTTCTACATGGCACCAAATGTTCTTAAATTTGCTTAGACATAAACCACAGATGCTACTATTAGGCGAGGTGATACTTATGAGGCGGAGAAGATCATGGTACACAAGAAGACGCGATAGGGTAAGCTGAATTGGTAATGAGTCTGATTTATAAGAGCCTCGCGATAACTTGCGCCTGATCAATCAAAACCGGATGTCATTTTTAAGAAGGCGACTTGGAAGATAAAAGAGCCCAGCTAGTTTGATAATATATTAAATGGAGACATCCTTTTAAGCACCGACTCATATGCCTTTCTAACTTACCTTTCCACCATGACTCAGAGTGAGCAAAAAACGACAGAAGCTTTTTGATAGCGCTCAGCGTCGGGTTCGACTAGCTAAAGCGAAGCTTAAGCTGTAGGAAGGCGATTCGTGGGATTCTGATATCTCGGATGGAATTACAGCTGTTGCCACGAAAGCAACTGAATCAATTTAGACAGACTCAATGTTCGAGCCATCTAAGGCATCCTGAATGATAGATATACCCAGTCAAATCCTAAGCTATAAAGTGCCCCGGAAGTAAATATTAAAGCGATGGTAGTCGACAGTGGCGTCGAAACAAAATCTTGAGTAATTGATGTAGGTGTATCAGCAAAGTCCCTAGCAATTAGTTTTTATCCATGATACTCATCATGAATGATGCATTGATGCTCCTAAAAATATAGAAAAATGTATTTGCGAATATGACATTACCGCTGAGATTGAACAACAGAAGCGATCAAAACAAGCGGTTGCGTTAAATGTATGAGATTTATTCGATTCTTGTAGGCTGGAACATCCATTGACGACAACTTGATGTCTATATGATTCTAAGCCAGGTTCAAAAGTCGATACCGGGATCGTGCGAAGTCTGTCCTGTGTGAGGATATCTCTCTGAGATTGTTCTTTAACTCTTGCAAGTAGAGTGAAAGACGCGTCCTGTTTCTCTTCTTCCTGAGTGCCTCTTTTCGCGTGTGGTGACTGCTTTTAATTGACTTATGTCTTGTAGATCAGTACTAATGTAAGCTTCCTTCCAGTGTTAATTCTTCATGCTAAAAAATTATTTGTGCGCGCTGTATCCAGAGCGTTGTCATTAGTAAGAATGGAGAGAATCTCCTGCTCTGGGTAAGAGAGGCCGAAATGGCTATGGCATTCGCCATGCTTCAGAACGAGCAGCAGCGCGTGGCGCTAGCTATCTGGAGTCAAGTGCAAGAATGGGCTTTACGTGCGGTGCTTTGGTTGAAGATCCGTCCCCCTCCTGGACCGTCAGCTTTTGCGAATGATCTCGCCAGCTAACCAAGCACATCGCGTGCAATCGCGTTTCCTTGTCACCCGTCAGGTCAAGAAGGCGTTGGTGTTTTTTTCCAAGAATCATGAACTCTCGTTGCCGGGATGGCAGCCGATCCTCTTCCCGAGGCGGTCGCAGTGATCGTCTTCATGGAGGGCCCCCGCACTGGCGTGGTCAGAATGGATGTCTTCCGTGTGCATCCGTCTTCTTTCTAAAGAATCGGTGAACGTGGCATTGGATGCCGAATTCAAATTCAATCCGGCACGTCTTGGCTGAAATGCACAATTCAGAGCTCGTCAAGCGGGCCTGAGCCATTGGATCTCAGCTATGCTGAGAAAGAGGAGGGTGAGCTCCGACTTACCGGGCAGTTTTAAAACACCTGATGGTGCTTTGTCTTTGAAGACACGTCACCTTCAGACTGGATTGGATGCGGCCTAGCGGTCGGGCTGCTCTTGCTGTGCCAAATAGAAAGGTAGTTTATCTTCGGATAAGCTGCTGTTTCCTTAGGCGTTGAACAACCGGCTCAGAACTGGAGCGGACAAGGGGAATCCGACTGTTTAATTAAAACAAAGCATTGTGATGGCCGGAGACGGTGTTGACACAATGTGATTTCTGCCCAGTGCTCTGAATGTCAAAGTGAAGAAATTCAACCAAGCGCGCTGCGCAAGACGCGTAAAGGTTCATCAAACCGACGTTCCGCTTCTCACCAGTCTGATTTGTCGCCAAGAAATAGAGCACCCAGTAGGCACGAAGCGCCCTGCTGGATAAGAGCTGAGTTCTGTTGAACCTCGAAGTGGTAGAGGTCAGCATGGTCCAGCTTGGAAGAGCTCAATGCTCTTGAACACGGAACGTGTATGCAAGCCGAACTTGCTGGTCGTGATAGCGACCGAGGAAGGCGTTAAAAATTTATCGACTCCGGAGCGTCGGGCAATTAGCTCGAGGCTCCACGATAGAAGGAATTAAGCTGTATGCTGAGGCGCTGAAAGCGCTGTTGAGTGACATCGTCACTGTTCGCTTATCGATGGGGCCTTGTGTCACTGTGCCAAGGGTCCGCGTGAACATCGGTAAAAAATCCTTGACTTTTATAGCGTGGAACGCTGCTTAGTCTTAGACTTGGATGCAAGGTATGACCTGATCCTTGGCAAGGCATGGTAGGATCACCATGAGCCATCGATCGATTGGGGTGAACGGGGTTACACGTACCTTTGTATGAAAGGGCAAATCACACTAAATGGTGTGACCGTGGAAAGATGCGGATCACACAAGTTATTGTAATCGCACCTTGGTGTGGCTACACCGCAGTAAGAAGCCACTACGTGGCAGGACTGCCACGTAGCTGTGCATTTTAATTAGTAGTTTTGTGTTTTAATTGGGTTTTAGATTTAGCTCTGCCGCAAATAAAACAATCGCCTACAGTTTCAGTTTTGAGCGGAAGAGTACATTTGCCCTGGGATAAGGTTTTGGGTACTCTTGGACGTAGCGGATTGCGGTCCGCTATACTCGTACGGGTTCTAGTATAGAACGTCAGGTTGGTGACCTTGGTAAGCTTCCTCTAAGCAAAGAGCTACGGCAGCCCCGCTGCAGTATTGTACAAGATTATCGTGAAAGATGTAGTAATAGTACATTTTTGTGTAGCTGTAATTGCGTAGCGCTCCCAGTCCTCATACTACCCAGGTCGTGAGTACTCAATTTTGCCGAAACATCTTAAACAATAAGGTCTTCTCTTCACATTCCAATTTGGGGTATCTCGGTTGTTGCGTTCTGCTTATGATCGTCTATTTTGTTGTCTGGGGTGTTGCGTTTCTTGTACTATGGGGTCCTGCGTTAGCCCTGCATTCTTTCTATCAACTGTCATTTCAGACGAGCGAAGGGACGAAGAGCTAGACTTCTTGGACGTGCGTTACTATTTCCAGCCCTTACCAAGGTCTTCAAGATCGTCATGCTGGAGGATCCATTGGAAACATCGCAAAATAGAAACTTAGAGATTCTACATTTAGGCTCCGACAGTTAGTACTGATCTACCGGAGTTTTGCTGGATGACCTACACGAATCATTTATCATTCGATAGCAATCTGGTAAGTTACTTGATGCACCCATCCAAAGTGTCTGAAACTTGCTTACCCAGAAACACAACTGCTGATAAAAGTAAACATCCATTTATTTATGTGTATAAATACGCGGATTTATCAATAAAAGCCATGGTAACCATTGAGCCATCAACTTTACTCTAGGCATGAACCGCACGCTATCCGGCAAAAGCGCGAAGCTTTCGAAGCAACGTCAATCTAATAAGCCCACGCAAGATCCCTCACCATCTTCTCCAACTACGTCACTCCGTCGCTCGACTCGGTATTCTTCTTCTTCAATAAACTTGGCACGAAACTCTGAACCTAATAGTCAACCGAAAGTAGAAACCAAAAAACTCGCTTCTGAGGCTAGCAACCGTGAAGCCGACGATGACGACGTCAAGCTTACTGACTACGAGCGCAGACGTCGTGAGAATATTCAGCGTAATTTAGCTTTCATGCAGCAAATGGGCGTATCGACAGCAAAAATACAAGCCAGGACGGCGGTCGGAATTGACCGTAATAGTACAGACAAACGGCATGACTTAGCATCAAAACGAGCGTATCAAGCAGCTTTAAAAGCTGAACGAAGATTGCAACCGATCCGGAAATCGAGACGCTTAGAAGGCAAACAGGTCGAGGTAGAACCCATTGACACTATTGATCAATTGGATCAAATGACCAAGACCCGTGTTCCTCGTGAATCACGACGTAGCAATCTTCATGTGATAGATGCAGTTGATAGTGAGAGTAAAGCATTTCTTGGTACCATTGTTGATGAGTATGAACAAGAAGAGCTAGAGGAGGACACGCTATTAGATGATGACGATGGTTTGGACTACACGTTGGCAGATGAAGATATCATCAAAGCTGTACAAGAACGAATTTATTCCATTGCTTTCTTGCCCCGAGGTGATCGTGTTGTAGTCGCTTGTGGGGATAAATTAGGTCATATTGCTTTGTGGACACCTAGCGAAGCTATCAAGACGTTGTCACCTTCTCCATTGGTGGTCTATCAACCTCACAGAACCCCTGTAACTCAATTAATATTCCCCGACGCATCAACCTTGATTTCAAGCAGTTTTGATGGAAGTGTTCGGGAGTTTGACTTGCGTGCTGCTAAATCATCGATTGTGTTCGAAACAAGTGATGATGCCGGAATTTCGTCGTTGGTGGCAGCTAGCACAGCGAGTTGTTACTATGCCAGTTGCGACGATGGAAGTGTGCGATTTATTGATCGACGCGCGTCCAAAGTACAGAGTTCACGCTATCAGCTGCACGAAAAAAAGATTAACACGGTACATCAACATCCAAGCGTAGATTTGTACGTTCTGTAAGGTGTGTGTGACTACCGCTTTCTTACATGTGTCGTTGGTTGTAGTTGCGTTGCGACGGCTTCGTTGGACCGTACAGTGTGTCTATGGGATGCTCGTCAATTGTCGACGCAAAAAACCAAGCCCCTTGTGACATTGCCACATCACCGAAGTGTCAATTGCGCATACTTTTCTCCGCGTGATGGTGACTGGCTCGTGACTGTTGGCCAAGACTCGTACATTGACATGTTTGATACGTCCAGTCTTGCAAAGCAAAAGGTTTCAGAAAAGGCTGTTGTTTCAGTGCCAGACCCGATTCGTGTCCGACATAATAATCTAACCGGTCGATGGCTAACAAAACTTCACGCGGCGTGGGACCCCAAAAGACCAAATCAATTTGTAATTGGATGTATGGAGCAGCCGCGGCGCGTTCAAATCTTTCGTGCTGGTCGCCGTCGTTGCGTGCGCGAGTTAAAGAGCGAGAATTTTGCCTCAGTGCACTCGATTAATGTGTTCCATCCTCATCTCGAATTAATCGCGGGTGGCAATTCATCCGGTCGTCTTGCATTGTGGCGAGGTAAGAGGGTGACCGTAGAATAGATCGAGACTTCAATGCATTGTCGAAAATCGAAATATACTCATTATTGCGGAAACAAAATGTCAAGCACTATCTCGACATACCTCGAGGTAAGTTCAAGATTCATGAGACTCTTTAATATTAATGTATCTTTCTTTGTTGTAAGTTCTGTCATCTTGCAGACTTAATTATGTGAGCATTGATGCTATTTTGTTCTCTTGTAAATCATTTCTCGTATTCAATAATCAGTAAGAACGCGACCAACACGTGACTAGACTCTCGCAAGAGTGTTCAAACCTTTCTTTCGAAGCTCCGTGTGTTTCGACTGTACCGTTTCGAAATGAGCAAGTAGCGCATTCACATCAACGCGAGAAGTAGTCGAAGCTAGGACATTATCACTTGAGCTCACCACTGTCTCTTTATCCTTTTGAAGCCCACGAACGTTGTTGATCAAATCCATTCGGCCGATAGTAGTAGCCATGCTCGTGACACTTGCAAGTCGATCTCGTAAGACACGAAAAGCAGCACTTTGTGGTAACAACATTAATAGCCCATATAAACTTTTCACTAAGTCGGTATGAAACTTTTCGTGGATCTCAAGGAGCTGAAGACGCATGTGAATAAAAATGGGCGACTCGAGCAACTGCACGAGTTTGTCAATTTGCATGAGAAAGCCGACAGAAGCATCGATTTCGGCAAATTTACTGATCAACGCTGCCGACAGCGAGTACGATTGGGCCAGCAAGCATAAACTGTAAGCAGCAACGGGATTATGACACCATGATTGGAATAGAGCTGTAAATACGGCAATATCATCATCGGACGCACGAGGTTGAAAACTACGACGTAGGATATCACGAAGATGTTCGAGCTCATTTGCAGTCAATAGAATGAGGTTTAGTGTCTGTACCATCACTGCAGCAAATTCACTGTCAGAGTGACTATCGAGATAGATCGCTTCGGTGCCTAAAACCTTAGCAAAAATGAGATATATACTCTTGGAATCCAATAACACACATAATTTTCGAACAATCATACTTCCACGCAGTTCAAGCAAACGTCGATCTTGTGCGAAAAGCAACAAGATGGCGTTAAGAACCTTTTCAAACTCAACTTTGTTCAGCGAAATACGCGCCAAAACTTCCAAATCCAGCAACACAACGCTGTCGGATGTGTCAGACAACGTTCGAAGTAACGCCGGTAACAATTGACCGATATGGGCAGACAATTGATTCGGATACTTTTCAAGTAGCATTGAAATCCAGCGCAATGCTGCCATTCGAGTCGGAACGTGGTCACTACTCAATTCTGTCGTGAGTTTTTGCATCAAAGGTAAAAGTTCCACGTTTCCGGTTGTAGACTTGACAAGCTGTAACAAATCGTCATTCGCGCGCTCTGCTACTTGTCTAATCTCGTGCTCAGCATCCGAGATACAATGCATGATCGCAGCTAACAAATTAGCATAAAACTCAACGAGTTTCTCACGACCCAAGTTTACAAACTCATGTACCCAACTCACAGCTGTAAGTCGATTGAATCTCTCTTTGCTATTACACTGTCCCACAAGAATATCAACCATTCGTCCAAACTCAACATCTTCGGTTTGTTTAATCTCTCTTAAAAACTCGGCCAATGCGCTGTCTGCAGCCTGTCGAATCTCTCGATTTCCATCACTTAACATGTTGAACAATCCATCAAGAAACTCCGGAAGCCAGTCCAACATGTCAATGTCTGGGACTGAATCCAAGACTGTGATCCATCCTACTAATAACTGTCGAATGTACGGATTTGTCATGCGAATGTACTTGTGAAGTAACGGAATAAACATATCGACGTCAAAGTATTCACTTTCTGTCACAATATCTTTTACGAGTCGATCCAATAAATTCGCCCCATTCTTCACATCCACATCCACGTCAGCAAACAATTTGCACAATCCATCAAATATTTGATTAAAATATTGCAAAATATGACCTCGAGCCACTTTAGCAATATTGTACAAACTTTCACATGCATAATAGCGTACACGACTCTCAGGATCGTCAAAGCAGTGCAATACTGGAGGCAGTAATTTATCCAAATACAAGTGAGCGTCGTGCATGAGACCAATAGCTGTAGCTGCGAGCCCAATCAATCCGCCTTTTCGATGATTTGCATTAGTTGAGCACGCAAAATCATGTCCTAAAAGCTCAATTATTGCAGGAATGCGTTGACGACTAGGATTGTTACTCATTGCAGTTTGTGAGTTCGTAGCACTTTCACTGTCAGTTCCGGATGTAAGAATATCAGAGGCATCTGGATTGAGTTGCATCTGATGCTGCTGATGAAATTCGATTGATGCAGCATTTTCTTGCAATTGCTTGATGAGATTCTCGAGTTCCATGGCCGCACCTTTGCGTTTGTCATACGAACGATCACCCAGATTACGCATAAGATTTGGTGATAAAGGAAGATGGACTGGATAATCATTAGCATCAGGTGTTTCACCACCTCCTAAACTGAATGGTATAGCGGCGGCAGCAGCTGCAGCGGCTTGTGTTAGCGCCGACTGTGGCAACATTGGTAGAGAATCTGTCGGGTAGCTAGTGCTCATTGTTTTGATGATTTAGTAAGTGAAGTTTCAAAGGTCGATCTATAACATGGTGTGGATGACATAATGTATTTCATGGGAACTCTGTGATTGTATAGCGATGAGGCTTGTGACGCCAGTTGGTATCACAAGAGGTACGCAAACATGATCTTGTATAAAGCAACAGTATACAACAGCCGCATTTATTCCACTCGCAGATATATTCTTCATATTTACAGTATACAGTATCATAGGTGAAGTCATATGCCGTATCTGTAAAATAGCACATATTATCTGCGTAACCCTTCGCCAATATTTGAAACCGAGTCGACAAACAACAAGCAGCAATATTATTATGCTATTTACATAACAACGAGAATGAAAGAACGCCAACTTCAATACAATGATATACAATCGAAAAGCACACCCACAACTATCACGTAACGTACAGACGTGAGGCCTATAACCATTGTCACGCAATAAAATATTCCTATTTCTTGTGCTATTCGGTGTACTAATCTCATTTCTTTTACAAGCCCCGTATCTTCTACTTGTGCCAAAATTGCTAGACACAGCTTACTTCTCAACCGAAAACAATTGTTGCACAGCATCATTCCAAAGCTGCATGATGGACTAATAGGGCGTATTATCGCTTGATACATTTTTTACTGTTTGTAAGTGTTGCAGGTTAATTGCTACGCTAATGTTATCGTAAGTTCAGTCTTTGTAGTATTTAGTTAGTACATTACCCTATTTGGCACGCACCGCTTAAAGATTCTAACGTGAAATTGCTAGTTGCAAATTGAGCATGCCGATAGCAATCTATATAGCCGCTATTCCGGTGCTCACACCGATCTTAGAAAGAATGTGTCGCTGAATAGCTGGTTGGTTATTCGTGTTCAGCGTTCTTAAACCTTAGAATAGTTCTTATCAACTGCCAAGGAGAGACGATGATGTTTCACTATTCAAAGTGGGATGGTCTGGTAATGGCAGGTTATGCCCTAGGGACTGTGTAACGCGCGAGCGACGGGAGATCATCACATATTTAATTGATTACATTGATTTTTCACGATGACAATATTTGTTCAGCAAGTTGTCGCAACTACAAAAAGCTTTGTTTACAGTGGCGTGAACTTAATCTTAAATAGGCATCCAGCTACCTAACTCAAGCGACAGATTGCTCACACTTGACAGTATATGTGTGTCTTATCAAAGTGGCGTTCGTGATGTTTTACATTCTGCTTTTGTAACGGGTTTACACGTACCCTGGTAACAGGGGTGCGTATCATGCGAGATGTGCATGGTGTGACTGCACCCAAACAAGAATACGATATGTGGCTAGGTAGCCAGTAGTTATGCATGTATTTAAATTTTACAATATATATTTGGTATGTGGAGGAAAATCTAAACATCTAAATTAGGCGGCTTTGCCGCAGATAAAATAAAAATAAATCAGTTTTGAATTTAAACCGAAGAGTCAATTAGCCTTGGTTAAGGCTCTAACTACTCTAGGAGGTAGCGGGTTGCGATCCGCTACACTCGTATTGGTTCTTGTAAAGAATGCAAGGTCGGTGACCTAAAGTACGCTTCCTCAAGCGCTAAGCTTCGGCAGCCCCGCTGCAATTGGTAGCACTTGTATTCAATCTAAACCTGAGACGTTTAGACTGATCTCTGTGAGGATGGAGAAATTTTTTTCTTTGCCTCAGAGCATGCAAAACGGGCTTAACAAGCTGATGTCCTTGCTTGGCCCTGAGGGCGTGCAACACCTTTATAGCGCAAGATTCCAAGGCATTCGGTTACGAAAACGCGCCGCTAGAGCGCCTACTGCAGGATATGTCTGCATCATTTGCGTCTATGACGCCACTGTCGGTGACGAAGGATTTTCCCCACCCTAAGCCGCTCATGGTGAGCGTTAATGTCTTTGAGGGGAGGGATGGAGAGAATCTCCGGCTCTGGGTGAGAGAGGTCGGGATGGCCATCGCATCCGCCATGCTCCAGACCGAGCAACAGCGCGTAGCGCTAGCC